CCAACACATGGAGAGGTTCGGTTTGGATGCGACCAAGTCGCGCAACTGATCGCCCAGGTGCAGACCCGGTGTGTACAGTGAGGGAAACAATGATTTGATCCCCTGCAGATTTTGTACGTTTGGCCACTGACAAAGAAATTATCAGTCTATAATTTTTAATGGTAGGTTTATTTGAACAGTGAGAGACAGAATAACAACAAAAAAATCCAGAAAAACGCATGTCAAAAATGTTATAAATTGATTTGCATTTTGATGAGGGAAATAAGTATTTGACCCCCTCTCAATCAGAAAGATTTCTGGCTCCCAGGTGTCTTTTATACAGGTAACGAGCTGAGATTAGGAGCACACTCTTAAAGGAAGTACTCCTAATCTCAGCTTGTTACCTGTATAAAAGACACCTGTCCACAGAAGCAATCAATCAATCAGATTCCAAACTCTCCACCATGGCCAAGACCAAAGAGCTCTCCAATGATGTCAGGGACAATATTGTAGACCTATACTAGGCTGGAATGGGCTACAAGACCATTGTCAAGCAGCTTGGTGAGAAGGTGACAACAGTTGGTGCGATTATTCGCAAATGGAAGAAACACAAAAGAACGTCAATCTCCCACGGCCTGGGGCTCCATGCAAGATCTCACCTCGTGGAGTTGCAATGATCATGAGAACAGTGAGGAATCAGCCCAGAATTACACGGGAGGATCTTGTCAATGATCTCAAGGCAGCTGGGACCATAGTCACCAAGAAAACAATTGGTAACACACTACGCCGTGAAGGACTGAAATCCTGCAGCGCCCGCAAGGTCCCCCTGCTCAAGAAAGCACATATACATGCCCGTCTGAAGTTTGTCAATGAACATCTGAATGATTCAGAGGACAACTGGGTGAAAGTGTTGTGGTCAGATGAGACCAAAATGGAGCTCTTTGGCATCAACTCAACTCGCCATGTTTGGAGGAGGAGGAATGCTGCCTATGACCCCAAGAACACCATCCCCACCGTCAAACATGGAGGTGGAAACATTAGGCTTTGGGGGTGTTTTTCTGCTAAGGGGACAGGATAACTTCACCGCATCAAAGGGACGATGGATGGGGCCATGTACCGTCAAATCTTGGGTGAGAACCTCCTTCCCTCAGCCAGGGCATTGAAAATGGGTCGTGGATGGGTATTCCAGCATGACAATGACCCAAAATACACGGCTAAGGCAACAAAGGAGTAGCTCAAGATGAAGCACATTAAGGTCCTGGAGTGGCCTAGCCAGTCTCCAGACCTTAATTCCATGGAAAATCTGTGGAGGGAGCTGAGGGTTCGAGTTGCCAAACGTGAGCTTCGAAACCGTAATGACTTGGAGAAGATCTGCAAAGAGGAGTGGGACAAATCCCTCCTGAGATGTGTGCAAACCTGGTGGCCAACTACAAGAAACGTCTGACCTCTGTGATTGCCAACAAGGGGTTTGCCACCAAGTACTAAGTCATGTTTTGCAGAGGGGTCAAATACTTATTTCCCTCATTAAAATGCAAATCAATTTATAAAATTTTTGACATGCGTTTTTCTGGATTTTGTTGTTGTTATTATGTCTCTCACTGTTCAAATAAACCTACCATTAAAAATTATAGACTGATCATTTCTTTGTCAGTGGGCAAACGTACAAAATCAGCAGGGGATCAAATACTTTTTTTCCCTCACTGTAGCCTTGTTCGGGGACTGTAATTATGTGGACTTGTTTAGGTTCCACTTTGCAATGTCTCGTTTGCGCTGCTCTCGACCGATTTGGAATATATTTCACCGATGGCATGAATTATTCTTTTGTTTGAAAATGTATTATTCACCGTTATTATGGCTAACAACCTGGCCCAGTGGGAATGTCATCTTGAAAACCGCGCGGCTGCCCGCCAATGCGTGCAGATGCAAAACATGCACTTGTGCGTTTCGTTAACGCACATCGATTTGGCCATTATGTTCCTGCGTCGAGCGACCTCCGATTTGGAGAACCGCACGCTGTGAATGCATTTGTGGAATAAATTTAGCGCATTGATGATGATGATGATTACAATGCCTTTGGTGACGGCGGTGGCGTTTGTGGTGGTGGTGGTAGAGGCAGCGCGTGGTAATGATGGTGGTGAAGACGATGTTGGAAAAGTGATGATGATGATGTGATGGTGACAGAGGCAATACTGGAATACCATGTTGGTCATTACTATTGTTGTGTTTGACTTACACACACGAGGATTACGATTGTCAGCCATCACGTATACTCCACCCACAGAGTTCCAGATACAGTATATATGTAAACTGTATTTATACTGCAGCGAGGCGCAGCGAGTTGGTAACGGCAGGCTCGACGCAGCGCACACAGTAATAAAGTTTGAACAAAACGAGACGCACAGGGGAGGGGAGTGGGAGCAGAGAGGGGAGGGAGGAGTGAGGAGAGAGTGAGGCTCTGGTGGCAAGGGAGGGGATTGGGAGCAGAGAGGGGGAGGTGTGGAGGGAGGAGGGAGTGAGGCTCTGGTGGCAAGGCAGGGGAGTGGGAGCAGAGAGAGAGGGGGGGGGTATGGAAGGGGAGGGGGGAGGAGTGGGTGGGGAGGCGAGTGAGCCACCCAGTGGACCGTGTCTGTCTCTTTGGAATAAAATCAAGTTCACGGATTTTTTTTTCTCCCGAGAGCCGCCTCTCCATCTTCGTGAGCAATGCCGAGACTCGCTCGTTTGTCCGGCCCACCAATGCTGGACAGACGTCTCCCTTCCTTTCGCCATGGTCGGTTATGGAGGCAGTGCTGGATTAAGCTAGTGCGGGGCCTGTACCATATGTTATAAAGGGGCCCTAAATAAAAAAAAAGTAAATATTAAAACACTCTTTTTTTACTTGCATAGTAAAGTCATTGTATTTTTTCATTTGTTATACAGCCAGAAAACCTTAAACACCCAGTCGTTCATAAAAGTTGAAGGCGCTATAGTACTATAGTAATAGAGCAAGTGCAGAATCACTGAACCGGAATTTATAGCTTGAAAGCATTTAGCGCGGGGCCCTTGAAAGTGCGGGGCCCGTAGTATATACTACGTTTGCTACGAGGATAATCCGGCACTGTATGGAGGTTGTTTGACCATACTTCACCACGTTGGTCATTGCGGATTGGTGGTGGGTGGTGGGAGCGGTAACCGGTTAAGAGATCACTCGCCACAGACGTTAGCCGTGGCTAGTAATTAATCAATCGTTGGGATAGTTGGGTTCGTAACGCAGTGCGCTAACTCCGACTCCAAGCCCACAACCTCATCCCCTCTGCACCCATGTTGTTGTTTTTTTCTTCACGTACAACTATTTAATATAACATTGTTTAATTTATAATAAGAGCGTTGACAACGCCATCGCAAATCCATGGTCGATCGACAGGTCGCGCGTGCGGTGCGGTAAAGTGTGGCCACTCACCTCTCTTCCGAGACGTACGGACGGCGTGGACAAGCAGGGCACAAATATCATCCAGCAGTGGCGTGAGCCGAGTTTATTGCAGGGCTGCGCCACGGTGGCCAGATGTCAACTACCTCGCCTGGTGTACAGGAGGTCTTGGGTTCGATCCTAGACCCTGACGCCTGCTGTATATTTGGAGTTTGCGTGTCTCTCTCTCTCTCCCCGTGGAGATGTCAACTACCCTGCCTGGTATACAGGAGGACTTGGGTTCGATCCTAGACCCTGACGCCTGCTGTATATTTGGAGTTTGCGTGTCTCTCTCTCTCTCTCCGTGGAGATGTCAACTACCTCGCCTGGTATACAGGAGGTCTTGGGTTCGATCCCGACCCTGACGCCTGCTGTATATTTGAAGTTTGCGTGTCTCTCTCTCTCTCCCCGTGGAGATGTCAACTACCTCGTCTGGTATACAGGAGGTTTTGGGTTCGATCCCGACCCTGACGCCTGCTGTATATTTGAAGTTTGCGTGTCTCTCTCTCTCTCCCCGTGGAGATGTCAACTACCTCGCCAGGTATACAGGAGGTCTTGGGTTCGATCCCGACCCTGACGCCTGCTGTATATTTGAAGTTTGCGTGTTTCTTTCTCTCTCCGTGGTCGCGTGGATTTTTCTCGGGGTCCTTCGGTTTTTCCCTCCACGTTTAGAATCAACGTCACGCGTTTAGAGTATTTGGCTGATCAAATTTCCACGTGATAAGCCACTTCGTTGAGCTATCATTTGTGGCCAGGTCGCTTCTGAAAAAAATAGCTACGTAGCTCAGTGGGCCTTAACTGGTAAAATAAACTTGAGTCTAATTTTTTGAAACATCTTTTTATACGAGCAAAATGATCGTCTCTTGATGGAAACTATGGCTAAGAAATACAAACGTTAATCCAACAACTGTCCTCTAATGACAACAGCATAGGATGCGCAGAGAGCTTTGTTGGTACATTAAATTGGTGAACTCCACGCAGTCATGCAATCATAGTTCCGTCTTTATTTCTGGACAATAAGACGCGCTCCGCTGTATATTAAAGTAACCGTTGTGGGTGCGTCTTATAAATCCGGTCGAGGTGTGCGCGCGCGCGTGTGTGTGTGTGTGTGACCATTTTGGTATAACTTTATTGCCACTAGACACACACACACACGTTTCTTTTTGCGGTGCGCCTTACTTTCGAGAGCATCCCATAATCCAGAGAATACGATTACTAACCGCCGCTCATTGCTACCCCCATTGAGAAGACGCCGCCCTAGAGGCGCATTAAGCAACGAGTGGAGCTACACAGACGCGTAACACACACGCGCGCAACATCCTACGAGCTCGTAAATGGAAGGGGAAAGAATGGGTTTTAAGTGGTGGCCTAGCGACTAGCGCTCTACACTACGAACTCGACGCATCTGAGTTCGATTCCAGGTCACAACCAAACGGCTCTCGGTGCTTAGCGGGCCGTCAACACACCAGCAAACCCGCACTGACCGGCGTGGTGAAGTATGGTCAAACAATTTAACCCCCACTGACCGTGGTGAACGTAGCGTCCTGCGCTTTTGTGGATCATGCCGTGTGGCCGTCGTGACTGCTGAATTATCATTTTATTTCACTTTCATCAGTCATGATTAATCCACTGCTGGATGAAGGTCCCCACCCATCTCTCATCTCGACTCTACGATATTATAACAATCACAATCCACCGATAGATGCGTGCGAACTCAGTCCATCGCTCCGTCTCCACTCTCACACAAGACAGGGGGGATATCTGAACGATACAGTAAGATACCTAAAATATATTTTTTTCTTAGAGAAAGACTGTAAAGGCGGTGTTGTGTGATTTGGCGGAGGGGTGCACGGTGTGGATCGTACTGTACTTTTTCGCACTTTGTTTTGCTCTTCGTGATCCTTGCAAAAGTTCCACCTCCTCCCCGTTGCATGACTGGACTTGCGCTGGAGCCTGAGCCGAAGTTATTAAAAAAAATTTGCGCCGTTGCAGAGGGGAGCCCGGGACTCGGGGACAAAGCTTCAGTGGAAGGAAATGGCCGCAGTTTCTTGGCAAAAAAAAAACCTCAAGTCTGGGAGACTTTGGCTGAGAGAGTTAGTGTTGTGTGTGTGAGAGAGAGTGTGTGTGTGAGTGTGTGTGTGTCTCTGTTTGTCTGTCTGTTGGAATGGTATGCCCAAATGTCTGCTCGTGTGTGTGTGTGTGCGCGCTCGTCGCAACTCAAAAGCCTCTTAGCTTGTTACCCTCCAACTGAGACCAAGAAATTGGAGATATTTGCTACCGTGCCGGCTAGGTTCCGTGAAAAAGTTCGACAAAGTGGAACTACTGAGTGAGTGAGCGTGCCAGTGCAAGTGTCTCGGCGCATTAAATTAACCATCGCGAGCGACGGTGATCTATATGTGCAAGGGGAACAAGCCTCGTGGTGTGGTTTTAATTTGAAACTTTTGCAGAGCGTACAGACGGAGTGAGTTATGCCCCGATATATGCGCTCAGTGGCATTCGCGTCTAAAGATCAACTTTAATCTCACGTGGTCGGAGGTAGGAAACCGAGTAATACATTTTTCTTTGTTGCTGAATGCGTTTCTATATGTCTAGCGGTGTGCGCGCTGCGACTTGTGGACGACCCATCAAATGCTGCTCGTGCTGTATATATGTGCGGAAAGCAAACGTATTCGATGTGAATATGAGCTCAGTACGGCCGTGCTTGCATGTATGTTTGTATGTATATGTGCACACGTGCAAGTATAGACGCGCGCGTGTGTGTGTACGGTATATTTATTGCGATTGCGGTGGCGTAGTCATTAGCGTGCTGCGCTACAAACCTGGCGACCCACGGTGTATGCCCTATCGCGACCAACAATTAGCGATAATCTGTGTTGGGCGTTCTCTGTGTCGACTCGGTCTCAAGAGAGTACCTGGTGGGATCTGTAAACATTGCCTCGAGGGAGACAAAGGCGGCCGGGCGTGGTGCTGACCGCCTTGTGTATCGTTCCGGCTTTCATAGACGCTCGCTAACAGCACTTGCTCCGGAAGTCTGCTCAAGGCTACACGGGGGATCTTTGTCTTTGTGTATATACAGTATATATGTGTGCGTGTATTTATACTCGAGACGCTGTACTGCCTAACATAGGCATCATTCACGTATCAGGTGAACATTCAAATGTAATTTTAATGAAGAGATCCGCGCAGCTTGCTTTTATTATGCAATGGTATGCTAATGAATCTCGCGGCAATGAATAATCTATCTGACAAGTACTGTGCGTGTATATGCTGTGTATGCAGCACGACGAGTGGGTGGCGTGGAGATAGTGTGGCGAGTTGTGTTAACTCGAACACGGGGTAGATCGCCTCTGCCCATGACGAGGCAGAGTCCTTTCTGAGAATGAGTCTCGAGGCTCGGTGAATATTACGCACGTGTAACAATTACACGTGCGTAATATAGGCTGCATGCGCGTGTCGTTTTACATATATGTGTGTGTGTGTGTTCATGTGTAATGATGCACCTTCACATACGTGACACCTGCGCCGTATGTTAGACAACGTTGAAGGCAGAAGCAGTCCTTTGTGTTCTCGAGATACCGAGGGACACCATCTGAATGCGTCTGTGGGAGCGGTGATGCAACGGTCAGCGCGCTGCGCTACGAAAGACCGGCAACCCGAGTTCGATTCCGGCTCACGGCCACCAACACTGGCCGCGATTGTATGTACCGCTCCCGGGCATCCCCTGGGTCGACTCAGCTTAAAATCTCTCGCTACGAGGGAGACAAAGGCGGCCGGGCGTGGTGCTGGCCACCCCCCCCCCCCTCCCCGGTGCGTCGTGACGGCCTTGGATAGGTGCTCGCTTGCAGCCCTTGCCATAGCAGTCTGTTAGAGGCTATACGGGGGATCTTTGTCTTTGTTTTGGATTTACATTGTGGGGTTATGAATACACAATGTATTACAAGAGACAAAGACATCCCGTGTAGGCTTAACTGACCGTCGGGGCAAGTGCTGCTAGCGAGCACCTATAAAGGCTGTCACGGCACACGAGGGGTTGGGTGGCGAGGACCACGCCCGGCCGCCTTTGTCTCCCCAATACTGATGTTTTAAGCACCGCACGAGCTATTCATTATAATCTGAGTAGGGCTAGCGGAGGCGCAGAATCGGTGCAGATATTCCATCGTCGATGTTGGCTGTGAGCGGGAATCGAACAAGGCTTTTCAAGATTCGTAGCAGCAGCAGTGCGCTAATCAACTACACTACCGCTCCCCACAATTACTATTAGTAGATACGCGCACGTACACATTACATATATACGTACACCGGGAACACAAAGTGTTGTATTTATGCTAATACGTCATACAAAAGCAAACCAAATAAGTGTTATTTGTTTCATCCTGCCGAGTCGAGTACACACGTGTTCGACGATTCACGCAAGCAGCCTTCTGTAGGGATACGCAATCTTATTATTGTGACAAAGTATATCATTGAGAATTTCATTTCAATTCTCCCATGTTCTGTTCTCTCGACGTGCGGGTGTGTGTGTGTATAGAAATACGAGAGCGGTGGCGCAGTGGTTAGCGCACTGCACTACGAACCGGGTGGACCCGAGTTCAATTGCATATGACGAATATCTGAACCGGTTCTGGCCCTCCCATAGGTCGACTCAGCCGTAAATTAGTACCTGGTGCGGTGTGTAAATATTAGCACCGGGGGGGGTAGGGGTAGGGGGAACGACCGGGCGTGGTGTTGGCCACGCAAGCCGCTCGTGTGCCGTACCGGCCTTTAGCACTTGCCCCCAACGATCTGTTAAAGGATACAAGGGGATCTTTGTCTCTGTCTTTATTTTCGGACATCAACCTTTGATTTATCACGCCTCGTGCACGTGGAATGATATTGCATCTGTGCTACATACATCATCATCATCACCATCCCCTACCATGTCTGTCGAGATCCATGACACAGATTGAATTGCTCCATTGGCAAGCGTGAATTACAAGTTTGGTGAATTCTTAATGAGAGTTAATCTTGGTGGAGATGTGGGTCCAGCGGTTAGCGCACTGCACTCTGAAACCCAGTTCGATTTCCACCCGCGGCTAATAGCAGTGGCGAGTGATCATCATCATCATCATCTTCTTCTTCATCCGAACCGGTGCTGTCGGCACGGCCCATATCTTTCACCAACTCGCAAACTGACCAGCGTGGTGAAGTATGGCCCGGACAACAACTACGATCGGCACGTGGTGGAGGAAGCCTTCGTCTATCCGTGGATTGACGAAGAGCTGTTTCTATTGCTGACCCGCCCATGAAGAAGAGCTTCATAGCTCATCGGATTCCTCCTGCAGTTTAATAAAACAAAATGATGATGATTATAAATACAGTCAAACTTTTGTTCTAGCTGAATAAAAAGGGTGGAAACCAATGTATGATAGTCGACGTTTCTTGGCATTGGCCCTTCTTGATAGCACGTGCTTTGAAGAAGGACAATTGCCTGACACTTCGCTCTCTATATATAGGTTTTGTTTTCTTCTTTTAAGGACACAGTGTTATTGACAAATGTGTCGAGGGTTTTTTTTTCCTTTTATAATTTTTTCGGGCCAACTACAGCAATAACGAAACGTAATGAAGTCGTCGTCATCGTGTGCGTCGCGGGGGAATGGAAGCGCTGGCGTTTGTTTGTCGGAGCGCGTTTCGCCCTTAGCGGCGAACGCGAAGTGCGAAACGCGTGGACGTGTCGAGATTTTTTGGGGGGAGCGGTGGCGCAGCGGTGAGCGCGCTGCGCTCCGAGGCCGCTTTGTAAGTCAGTGCTTTGACGTGGTCTTCGCTCGCGTGATCGCAGACAGACGACTTATTTGGGAAATGTCGCTGCGTTGGCAGTGGCGCACGGACAAACAACCTCGGCACGTGCGTCAACAACACTGCGCGGCGACGTTTCAGGCAATGGCTCTAACCATGCGCTTGAAGAAAGGCCCATTACCCGAAACGTCGCATATTATATATATTGTTTTCACTTCGAACTCCGCACGGTGTTGTTGACAAAACACGTCGAGTTGCTTTTAAAAAAAAAGAGTAGAATGTACGTAAAGACGGAGGGTCACGACTTGCGCGACGCGACCCGCACCACACGTCAGTGACGTGCTCCTGCTAGGGTTAGAGAGCTGCCGTTTGACGCACGCGTGCGGGTCTGCGACGCGCAGCCGGAGAGAGCCTCATCGGCGTACGAATCGTCGCAGGAAGGTTCCACGACACGGAGACTTTGAACTCCTTTCGCACCGCACGTGGCCGAACGCGCCACAATCGAAAGGTGCGGATTAGGGCCCTGGTGGAGAGAGGCTTCATGCATCGGTGTGGGGGGGGGGGGGTGGGGGGAGGTGTAAGCTCGGCCCTAAGACTCGACGTTGATCACATTGATCACAGTCTCGGGTCCACAGGACAGTCCCCATTATCGCCATCGATGACCCAAGTCACACCGCGCCCCTCCTTCCGCCACCCCCCCTCCCCTCCCCCTTACCTCTCGTTGAGTGTGACCCTAAAGCCCAGAGTAAGCAGGTGATGATCGACCCAACCGGTTGGGAGTATTCTTCGGATTATAAGACGCACTTACTTTAAAACAAAAATGTAATTTAAAGCAGCATATGGTAGAGGCGTGCGTCTTATAATCAGGTGTATGTGTGTGTAAACAGATTTGTCGGCGATTCTGGCAACAGACGTGGGGTGCGTCTTTGTGGAGTGCCGTGAAAGATCATGTTTTGTTACGACTCATTGTTCGTGTTTACCGCCTCTTCCCCACCCCTTCTGCGGAGGTAGTTTGTACCGCACTTTGTATCCAAGGTATCTGCTGCTAAATGATAACGTTGTATCGATTGATTCTCAGCGGGTTATACAATTCATTTTGGCGTGCGTACATGAGTACATGGTTCGCCTGTGTGCATGTGTCAATACGATACGTGTAATGCTCACGCACGTGTTAAATATATACATAAAAAAAAACACTCAGGACATTTGTCAATACCGAAAGAACCAAAGAAGATTTGTCAATAGCTTCGTCCCTAAAAGGAAAACGTATAATTGGCGACGTTCCGGGCAATGGCCCTTGTTTACAGAGAGAGGGAAAAGAGAGGGAGAAAGATAAGAGTCAAAGAGATTGGCCATTTGCCAGAAACGTCGTCTTTAACATTCTAAGTTTTGCTGCAGGTGAGCGCTGTTATTGAACAATGTAGTTTTTCTTGCTTTGTGCACCACTGCCGAAGCGCATTGTCACAATGTGTCGTTGATGAACGTGATTATTGTGTTGTGTACGTGTGGTGAGCACACGGCATGCGATTGACAGTGGTGAGGGCACAACAACAACAACCTGGGTTCGAGCCCCAGCCACGGCTTTACATCAGTAGCGATTCATAAATTAACTGGGCCTGGCAGCTCATCATTCACCAACCCGCACTGACCAGAGTGGTGAAGTATGGTCAAACACCCCCCCCCCCCCACCACCCCTAAGATCGACACGGCTTGGAGAGGCCTTCATCCAGCAGTGGATTAATAGAGGCAGATCTTAAATTGTA